CAAGTGTCTGTCTCCAACGCCGAGAAGGTAGGTGATGACACAATATCCGGCACAGGACTTAACATAGGTATCCATCGTCTCCTTGCGGATACCAAGAGGTTCGTTTTCGTCGGGATTGTTTGCCTGGAGATAAGCAAGGACGGATTTGTACTTTGCAGAGACGGCGGAGAGTGAGGTTGATGGTATGAACTGGACAGCGCCAGCTGTGGCATTCGTCGCGAGGATACGGTAAGGGGTGAGCTTGAGGTCTAGATTCTCCTTCTGCAGCAGACGATCCATCAAGATGATGATCTGAATGACAAGTTGATCTTGCCGGAGGTCGTCACCGACTTTGAACAAGATCGGATATTTGCGCCCCTCAGAAGTCTTGAAGGTAATGTGTAATGGTGACAACGAGGACTTGAACACATTAGACTCTTCCGGAAAGCACCCTGTCACCAACACTTCTGGGTCCAATGGAAGAGGTAGCGGAGGATCGATGTGGATGAGTTCGTTCTTCGGATCTTTCAAGTACCTTTTCAACTTTTCGATCTTCAGAGGTCGAGTCTCCCGAGCGAAGCGGATATCCTTGGCAATCTTCGTGAGTACCGCGACAAGTTCACCCTGCCGCAGTAGCGTCTTCCTGTGTTCTGGGGAGACCTGTTCGAGCTCGGCCATGAAGTAGTATTCTACTCGAGCAAAAAGCCTGCGTTGAGTGGACAGGGTGCCGGGGCTAGTATCATCACATTCAACCATGAGATACCAGTGCAGATAGCTTCCAAGTTTGAAATTGTTGGCAGCGCGGGTGATGAGGAAATTCGCCAAAGACGAGTCATGGGCGGCGCCTTCAGTATCGCCACGGGAACTTTCCTCATACTTCAGCGCTTGTACCAGCTGCAGAAGGTACAAGAGCAGCTCCTCGTCGTCTGCCTTTCGAAGCCTATCTACAGCGTAAGAACGGACAGCTGTATTATCGAAAGTCGGCCCGAGTAGCTCCAGTGCATCGTCAACGTCAATCTCCGTCCACTTAGGAAGAATTTCCACCGCTTGCTGGGCTTCACCGGCATCGCGCCAGTTGACGGACTTGACGAATTTGGTGAGCGCCCTTTTCTCGCGGGTAAGGTAATATCGGAAACGCCAGACCAGGTCCTTTTCTTCAGCGGTAAGGTCCTGAGTTGGCTCATATGACACAATGACGTTAAGCTCGTCGCGGATCTTGGGGTTGGGTTTCAGGTCACGGTCCATGATGCCAGTCCGATGGCTTCGAATCAACCTTCTATGTTTGTCCTCACAGGGGTTACCCGTCTGACCGACTTCCGGGTCGTAGATTCGAATGACACCGTCACCATTCGCACCTTCGATTCCTGGCCCAAAGCGAACTTCCGGAATAGGTTTCAGGGCCGCATTGGGGTTTGTGGGCGCATTTTGGGAATACGACGAGATCGGAGGGGGCGGGTACTGATGGTCAGTCCAGACGATCGGATGATCGAAGCGCGGGAACTCGATATACAAGACGAAATTCTCATCATCTATCTCCTCATCATCAGAATGTATTCCATCAGCGCCTGGTGTCTCTGGCGCTTTGTTCTTGGCCGCTTTGAGACGCATCGCCCTCTTCCTTGCAGCCTCTTCAGCGTTCAGCTTCAACTTCTCCAGTTGGCGGAAGACCATCTGATCCATCCAGTCGATTCGGGGTATCTCCCCCATCTCATGTTTCTTGATCAACACCTCCACTCTTTCCAGCTCCATTTCCTCCACGGAAGGGCCAAGAGGGTCGGACGCATTGATCTTGCGTCGCTTCGGTGGCGGAGTCGATGGGGTAGTCGTCGACGAGAAACCATCTGCTGCTTTATGCCGATACACTTTGCACTTCTGCCGTCCTGTCTTCAGTTTACCATCTTCATCGAACAAGGGTACTGTTGTTCCGCCGAACGGTATGTAGTGGCCGTCAGCACCTTCGCCGCCACATGGTGAGAGATCCCAGATAGTGATAGCCAGTTGACAGTTCAGAGGAGCATCCTTGATAGATATGGGCATCTGTAGCCATTCATTCCAGGCTCGAACGGACTTGAAAGTCTTGTACGAAGTTTGCATGGGTACACCCAATTGCTTGGAATCTGACCATAGTTGAACCGTCACAAAGAGATCCGAGGTTGGGTTCTGGATGGAGCCGATGTGTCGCAGATCCGGTCGCTTGTATAGGACTGAAAGTGGGATCTGCTTCTGCTTTCCTTCCAGCGAGCCACTTTAGACCAGTTAGCTTCCTGTTTCCCATGTTCGGCGCATGTTGGGTGTTTATCCAGACATACATCTTGACATGGATTGGGAAGTCCACCTGCGTGGAGACGGCAAACGTGAATGCCTCCATTAGTTTAGAGTCCTATAAGTCCCTCATCACCAGGGTTTTATCTCTCCCCCGTCAGATTCGCGTAACAAGGAGGTCGGGAGAGTTTCCAAGTAAGGTACGCAGGTAGCTATTAAGGTGGTCAATAGCTGTGGAGCTCAACTGGGGAAGATGGTGCAAGCAGTTCTGATTGGCTGCTCGCTGCCCTGATGACGCGGGGTCAGTGTCTTTATCACGTGACTATTGTCGGCTCAAAGAGGCAAAATATGGGTCTCTTACCCGCTTTGGACAGGCACGCGTCGCGCGGGAAGATATCATAATGATTTTCTGCCGCATCACTTGTACCCGATTCGATTGTGAGACTGCATGGTTACTGACTCATTGGGATAATACCGGGCTTATATTGTCGCCGATCTTATTCTTTGAATCTAATTATATCTTCTTCTCATCTCTTTGGACGTGAGCCCTTCAGCATCGTCGCGCTCACCGCTCTAGGCTCTATCAAATCGCTATCGCGTTTCTGCTCCTCTGTGCTCCGTTTGTCATCAGATCTTAGCTTCAAGACTATGGCAGGGATTGCGCGTGCTCGTGAGGCTGAAAGTCGATCTTCGTCGCCAGAATCCTCTTCAGATAAGGAAAACCGCCAGAACTCCTCAAGTACTCGCAAGAGGGCCCCGACTCAAACCATGGCATCTTCAGGCGCCAACGCGAAACGCCACCGACTGGCTCACCGAGCGTCCAATATCCAGGGAAGTCAATCCCAGTTGTCCCAGTCTCAGCAATGGGACAGAGATAAGAAGTACTACGATCCAGATCAGGATGAGAATGAGAGAAGGCGCATTCGCAGGGAACTTCGAGAGTTGCATCGCGAATTAAATGGTATTTCCTCTCGTTCTAGCACTTATGTGACTACAAGCATGAAGTAAATCGCATGCCCTGACATTGGTTCAGACTGCAGGAATGAGTATATGCAAGCGGGGAATATCGGAATCCGAGAGACCATCGAAAAGGCCAATGAGATCTTCCAAAATGTCAAGCAAACGTCGGATGCGACCATCGACTCTCGTCTCCTGGTCACTGCCGCAGATCTGGGGTATAAGAAAACAGCACAGTTCACCTTGAGAGATGCGTCCGCGGGTATCGATGTCGACGAGTTCGTCTCCAAGTGTATTACGTTTATGCGCCACGGCCCAAGTGATCCAGGCGCCGCATTATCCAGCACGCAACGTCGACGGCCCCGTCCTTCCGGCCGCAGTCAACCAGATGCAGACGAGAGTGATGATGAGTCTGGAGACGCAATGAACTGGGATTGGCTGGGGCGGACTGCCTGCTTTCGCCATAACTCCCGGCCTTCGGTTTCTGGTTTTCTTTTGGGGCCGTTGTCGGTGCAGAAGCGCACCCGTCAAGTGACGCAACGAAGAGCGAGAGAGCGCATTGACCCGGCGCAGGCGGTTCGACCACAGGAGCTCCAGGAGAAGGACCTCGACAGGCAGGAGACGTCGAACCTCACAACCATGTGCGCCAAGATAAACCAATTGCTCGCAGAAACGATAACTCATGGCCAGAATACTGTGGAGAGAATACTCTCGCGGATGGAGGAGGAGCCCACGGAGGAGCTTGTTCAAGAAGTCATGGCCAAGTATCATGTAGCTGACGACGGAGGAGTACCTCTTTTTCACTTTTGCATAAACCCAAGGTCGTTTGGGCAAAGTGTGGAGAACTTGTTCTATGTCAGCTTCTTGGTTCGAGATGGGACTGTCGGGATATCAACCGACAGTCGGCAGTTACCCACTCTACGTAAGTCCCTTGCCGGTCTACTCCTGAGTGGCTCGTGGAGCTGATCTGTTCAAACCCTAGATGTCTCGAAACCGTATGCCCCGAGTGAGGCCCAGAAGAAAGGAGTCCAGAAACACCAGGCTATTTTCAGTCTCGATTTTGAAACATGGCGCCAACTCATTGAGGTATACGGTATCAAGGAGTCTATAATCAAGCATCGCCCCGAAGAGCAGTCACAGTCGACGGGCGGTGGTTGGTACAGTTGAAAGGCACTTGTCCTTGTTCGTGTCAGATGTGTCGTTATTGTTAGTCTGTGTATAGAAGCGATACCCATGTTGTTTTGGATGTTATACCCATCTTGAGGCTGCAATGATTAGAACAGCGCATTCAAGATTGCAATATAGACCCGACTAGAACCTCCGTGGCATCGCTGCCATGTGTGTGGCAACATATCAGTAGCCTGAAGTGTAACCGAGTCTCGTGGCATCAACACCAAGCAAATGCAAATTAAGATCATATGTCAGTGGCTGAAACAATTGCCGTCGAACCTCGGCCTGAAAAGTCATGTTTTTATTTGGGCTTATTTCTATATTTTGATTTAAGCTATGATCAATTCTCCGATGGAAAATTCATCGACGTCATTGCCCCCACCAGAAACTATCAGCTCCCAACATCATGCAACACTTGCTGGAATTCTCGGAGTTTACCAGATGGTAACTGACAAGATTCAAGAAGAAGCTCACCGTTCTGTGTGAAATCAACTTCGAAGCTGAGCTACTATCTTGATCCTGATTATCCAAGGCATATCCCTGAGTACAGGCGATAGGAAGCGCAATTGAGCTCTGGTACCCAAATTGACATATATCTTCAGCTATTGAAACAAAGGCAAAAAGCGCCTATCATGCCCCGACTATTCCCATCCAACCCGGAAGAGGTGATGGTGATTCGAAACGTCACCTCCGACATCATCACCATGAGTCTGCCATTCGCACGATTTGGACGTTTCAAGTTTGGCGGACGGGGAACACTGGGTGAGTCCCGTCAAAGAAAGCATCATCCAATTTCAAAGCGCTGACCGAGCGCGAACAGTCAAACTGCCCTCAGGCTCACTAGTCGTCTTCTCCCCGGTCAACCTCACCCCCGAAGTCCGCGAGATGATCTCTCAGATGGGCCGGGTAAAATACATCGCCGCACTAGATCTCGAGCACCACATCCACCTCACCTCGTGGAAAGAAGCATACCCCGACGCCGAGATCATCGCCCCGGAAGGCCTCTGGGAGAAACGGCAGAAGAACCCAGCGCACCAGAACACGCCGTTCACGCACATCTTCCGGAAAGAGGACCAGCATCAAGGATCCCGCAAGATCTCGGAGGAATTCGACGCGGAGTTTGAGACTGAGTACGTGTACGGACATCCGTCGCGGGAGCTAGTCTTCCTACATAAGCGGTCGCGCACGCTCATTGAGGCGGATCTCATGTTCAATCTCCCGGCTCGGGAGCAGTACTCGCGGACGAAGGAGGGCGCGACATCGGGGATTTTTGCCAAGATCCTCAACCCGGTGATGTCGGCGGAGCCGCCGGCGACGTGGCAGAAGCGGTTTGTGTGGTATATTCTGTCGAGTGCGGATCGGAAGGCATTTACGGAGTCAATGAGGAGGATCGATAAGTGGGATTTTAATCGGTTGATTCCGTGCCATGGGGATATTATTGAGAGCGGTGCCAAAGGGAGTTTCCGTACGATCATGGAATGGTTCTTGGAGAATGAGAGGAGAGGGTCTACCTGACGAGATTGGTTGATCTTCCTAGTTTGCTGGTTATTCTTGATCGTGTATTAGTAGGCTTCTAATATGTATAATTTACGGCAATGTCTTGAAAGCCAATGGATCCGGCTCGCCTTCAGTAAGTCTGATCAATAAACTGTATCCACGACAGCCGCGCAGTGTTTTCTGAATGACCTCAATTCATGATAAGACACCAGATAGAGTGCCTATCCTGAGCTACGTCGACGGCGTTACGGCTGAAGGGGGAGTGGAGGTCAGATGATCCAGGCTGCTGCATTTCATTTCTGGATGACGTCAGGCAGCAAGGAGTCTTGGATTTCGTCATTCTAACAATAACAATAACAAACCTTCAACGCGAGATGGTCATGATTATCTTCCTGTAGAATACTCTGTGAAATACAGTCATTGGTAGATTGTTTGATTCTGAGCTCGAAATGAAGAGAAAAAGAACCCCAAGAATGAAGCTGAGAATATCCCTGGTATGCTTTGAGAAGAATTTCCAGGAATGGCCTAGTAGTGGAGCTGGTGGAGAAGAACTCCAGCCTTAGTTGTGGCACTATCACTTCTAGACTACGGTACAACCTCAGTTCTTCCAGCCGTAAAAAAGAGTCGCGAGAAGTGTACCTTAGCTACTCGTCCCTTACTCGGTAGAGACTCAAGTTTAGGACAACGCATGATGCCATGGAGTAACGCCAATCATCACTCAGACGAGCGGTCAACCCGCCCTGATCACGACAGTAATTTTCTGTGCCCAGAAAATTTGGGCAGACCGCAGGGTTTCGCAGGCAGCCAATCGGTTTGAAAAGAAGATGTCGTGCCCATGCGATGATGGCAGAGATGGCAGAGACAGCACCGAAGGAGATGGAAAAAAAGAGAGAGACTAAGGTAGTACTTGCGATGATCATCATCAGGTGTGACGACTGCGCCGGCTGAAGCTTTTAAACTGCACTCACCTCCTTTTTTTTCTTGTTTCTTTTCCCTCTTCTATTTACTTTCTGTACAATTCGTTCTCAAATAATCGTTTATAATAACGAGGCCTTGAGGTTATTCGTTGTCCAAAAAGGACCACATCTTTTCTACCACCATCTAATTCAATAATCTCGCATATCGCAATGCCTGTCATCTCGCGTCTAGTCTCCATTGTCCTGCGTGTCGCAGAGATTGCCTTTGCTGCGGTATGTAACCCAGACCGATCAAATGACTGGAGCGCAACTGACTCTATGGTGATTCAAGGTTGTCGCAGGCATCATCGGCTACTATCTCCACCAGTTCGCCCATGTTGATGCATGGCCACAAGCACGGTGGATCTACACTGAAGTCGTCGCCGGCTTATCCATACTACTCGGTCTCATATGGCTGATACCTTTCTCTTCCGGCTTCTTCTCCTGGCCGTGTATGTCTTCTTTCCCTGCTTACTTGCACACGATGATACCTTGTCGCTAATAGGAAAAAACCCTACAGTTGATGTGGTCATCTCTCTCGCCTGGTTTGCCGCTTTTGGCATTCTTGTCGATGCCATTCACAAGTTGAACTGCGGCAGTATCTGGTACTGGCATTTTACCACCCACACCACCAATTCCTGTGGTCGTTGGAAGGCCGCCGAAGCATTCAGCTTCCTCTCGGCCATCGTGTGGCTCGCCTCCGCTCTTGTGGTTCGTATTATGAACTCTGTGACCAAGCATTTCGATTCTGACGGCGTCTGCTAGGGAATCTGGTTCACCTTCCGCGTGAGGGGCGCCAATGCTGATGGCTATCAGTAAGTTGACAGCGCCAACATTTGGAAATATGACAAGTTAACATGCTCTATAGTCGCCGTCGTCGTTTCGGCCGCTCCGCTGTCTAGCCGGGATTCTGTCTTCCATCATGATGACACTTTCTGTCCTTGTCTCGGGCATTGACCTGCGGTGGACGGTTGCGTCTATCAAACATTCGACAACATTTCGTAGGCGTTCCTTACAGCGCCAACTCACGACGACTGTAACCCTCACGACCCCTGAGAGTTATCATGGCTCACTTTGGAAAATAGCGTGGTGGTCGACATGGCAAACGAGTTGATGATTTTGAATTTCTGTTGCGCTGGTTATCTGCTGATTTGATACCCTCTTGTGTGCTAACGATTCATGTGGCATGTTGATGGCATATTATTATTGCTCCTTTAAGGTAATATACTCTATGTGATATATACGCTTAATATGACTTTACTTTTCATTCAATCGTTCTCAATGCATGGAGGATGTATAGAGATAAGACAGAGAATGTCTCGTAGTATGAGTGATGATATGTGACTAAGGTGGGCCCATCCTCCATTTTTTGTGTCTTACTTGATCTTCCTCCACCATACCCCAGAATCAAAGATGCCATCTGGCCAGGAGTCCTCCTCAATCGCAAGCTCTAGAGATTCATCTCCCTACGAGAAAGTCCCTCGTGAAATCCAGGAATATCCGCTGGAAATCCTCGACCATGAAGAGAGTTCTGAGAACAGCCACTTTACGCCGGTAGCTCGCGGGAGCGCCGAGTCGGCACGAGCCGGCCAGGGACACTGCATAAGGGAACCACTCTTGCCAGTCCACGAGCATCAACAACATCCCAGATCCTCAAGTCGATTTTCATGTTCCGCATCTGCGATCTGGTCATGGGTCCAGGGGCCTTCGCCACCTCGTAAATATCAGATCACCCCTTTGCTGCCCCGCTGGCAGACGGCGCCGGGCCGTCTGGTGGAGAGATTCTTCCCCAGTACTATCGGCAAGGTCTTGCTTCTTCTGTCTTGTCTGGCTTTCTGGGGAGTGGTTTTCATAGTGTCGTTACATTCTGCAACTGCCAGCTCGGACATTTCGGGTTATGGGGATCCCGTCAAGCTATCGTGTCACAGTCGACTATGGTAAGCTACAGTCATTCCTTCCACACTCAAAATAACGCACGCTGATGATATAGGTCCAATGCCACCGACTGTGGTCTAAACGGCGACACATGTCGTCCGTTCGATGACGGCGCATTTGCGTTCCGCTGCCCTGCGAGTTGTTCGTCAGCAATGGTTCTCGAACCATACTTCATTGGCCCGCAGGAGATCAATTACCGGACTCTAGTCATCGGTGGTGGGCTCAGAGGAGGAAATGGCAGCGACCACGGCGTGTACCGCGGTGACTCTGCCATTTGTCCTGCTGCGCTACATGCGGGACTCATTAGTGATGCGAAAGGCGGCTGCGGGGTCCTCCGTCGGACGGGTGAACAGTCCAATTTTCCATCTGTGGAAAGAAACGGCATCTCAAGCATTGCATTTCCTTCTAATTTTCCCTTGTCCTTCACCTTTGACGGGGAGGGGCCCACAGACGACGGTGGCCTTGACTGCCAGGACATCCGTTGGCCGCTGTTCGCCTTCTCCGTGGTAGTCTCAGTATTGCTCTCACTTTTCATCACTTCTCCGGCGGCATTCTACGCTTCAATGTTCGTCGTCGTCTACTTCCAAGTTGCCCTTTCGTCCGATCCCCCCTATTCTCCAAATTACTACGAGCTCGTCTCCATCGCCCTAGGCAGATTCCTCCCCTGCGCCTTCGTCGGCTTCGCCTTGTACTATTTCTGCGTCCGGCACACCCTAAAAGATCTAGACGCCCACTGGGATAAGACCATCCTCTGGCTGGGGCCTTGCTGGGTCGGCGCCCTCAACACCGACACCTTCGACAAGATCCCCATATCCCGCCTCACGCCCCACGATATCCAGCAGCAGCCCGGCGCCATACCTGCCCTAATCATCATCGTCGCCCTCCTATGCACAATCGCAATCACGCAGGCCATTGCCTTCCGCAATGAAGGCCGTCTCCCCAAAATGCTCGCCGTCTACGGCGTCATGGCCGCCGCCGTTCTCGCGCTCCTCGTTGTGCCGCACATGAATCTCCGCATCCACCACTACATCCTCAGCTTGCTCTTCCTCCCCGGGACGACCCTGCAGACCCGTCCGAGTCTGTTGTACTCCGGGCTCCTGATGGGACTGTTCATCAACGGAATCGCCCGCTGGGGGTTCGATAGTATTCTTCAGACGCCTGCCGCGCTGCTCGACGGTGCGGAGTTGGGAAGTGCGCTTCCGCAGATCGGTGCCCCTCTGGTTGTTTCTGCGCACGAGCTCGTCTTCTCTTTTCTGAATTTGACGGACGAGGCGGATGGAATGAGTGTGCTTGTCAACGACGTGGAGAGGTTCCATGCTTTCCGGTCAGGCGATGGGTCAGTAGAATCATTCAATTGGACGAGACATAGGGCGGAGGAACCTGAATATTTCCGCTTCGGGTATATCAAAGTGAATGCGCTGGGTGGAGTGTGGTACGAAGATTTTACCAAGCCGGTTGTTTGGGACGTTGATGGGAGTTGGAATCGCTCGGCTCCCACTTAAGTGTTTTTTCGACGGTCATCAGATCTCAATTTATTCTTACTTGTTCAACTTCGAGAATAATGTAAGACAAGCAGAGAGGTACCAGCCAAAAAATGTATGCGTATTATATCTACAGGTATCAAGTTAAGTACTTGTACACGAATGCCGATCTCTTGACAAGATTGAATGTAGACGCCCGAACACCAGACAATGCATGAAGATGCACCCAAAGCTACAGATCAAGAAAGACAAAAACGAATCCAAAACTACTCCTTCCGATGATCGCGACATCTCACCTGAATGACGCTCTGCTTCCCGCCATCCTCGACAACCATAGCCGTCAACTTCCCACCCTTGACGCACCCAGAGTCCAGACCCTTGGTATACGTCTTGAGGGACAAGGAATTCTTCGAATCATGACCGTAAATCACGGTCATAACCTGCGACTTGGGGTCCGGCACGGAACCCTCCAGACTAGAATACAGCAGGGACTGATGTTTATTGAACAGCTGCCATTGTCAGTTTAGGAATGTGCGAGCGAAATCGAGGAAGCGCAGCGCATACCTTGGTCCACTTCGTCCCGTCCCGCGTCGAGCTAGGCACATGCGTATCCAGATCGATGGTCCGCATGTTCATTACGCTAGAGGGATCCTGCTTGTCGAGCTCCACGCCCGGCACCAACCCCCCATGCACGACGACCACCTGTCCCATTTCCGGGATCTGGCCCACGTTCAGGATGACGGGGCAAGCGTCAAGCCACTGCACCTGTTCGTTGGACAACTGGCGCGCGAGCGCGCGCTCTTTCGTGTCCAGCCCAAAGAAAAGTTCTGGGCTGATGTCGCCGTCCGAGTCCGGCGGGAGGGTATTCGATGCCTCCATGTCGTGGCGCAGCAAAAGCACCCGGTCTTCATGGTTCCCCCGGACACAGGAGGCGGCGTATTGGCGGGCGAGGTCGACGACCCCGGGGCTGTCGGGGCCCTTGTTGATCATGTCGCCGGCGAAGACGAGGTGATCGCGCTCGTGGTCAAAGGAGACTTCGTCGAGAAGGAGTTCCACTGCCCTCATCAATTAGTTACGCCATGACACAAGAAGAAAAGAAAAGAAGGAAAAGGGAAGTAGCGCACGCTCATCTTTGCAGCCATGAACATCCCCGATGAAAATCAACCTCCGCGAGCTAGGCTGTCCGTCCTTCTGCGCCTTTACGGCAGGCAACAATGACGCATCCAGATCCATCATATGTGTGATATCGTCGAATCTCGGCAGTGCATTCATACCAAACCAACCCCCCACCTCGTCCTTGTTCGACGGATCTAACGAGTGCAGCAGCGCCTCGTGTTCCTCCAGCCGCGGCGAGAGCACAAACATCCACCCCGCCAGACACGACACCAGGAGCACCAGGTAGATCATCGCGTATCGGCGAAAGCGCGGGGCCGTCACCATAGACATGAACATCTGCACCCATCGCGGGGAGTCGGACCTGTCGGGGGAAACGGAGAGGGAGGCGTATTTGGCGCTGGTTTGCCATCCATTACGCACATAGTCGACGAGCGGGCGGGTGTACCTGTTCACTGGATAGGAGTAGCCTGGCGGCGAGGGTGGGAATCCATCGTCTGAGTAGTCGTCGGAGATCTCTAGGCTCTCCCTGTCTGTGTAAGTCGCCATGGGCGGGATGTCGCCAGGCATCAGCGATTGGGCGATGAACGCCGCAACGGTTCAATGGCAGGCAGGGTCGGGGCTTCGCATGTATGTCCTAAGACGACTTCGTGAGCTGAACAATCAACCATGGACCTGCATGGAACGGTAAATTGTAGAGATGGAAGAAAGCAGGTTTCTCTCGTGATGAGTTACGTACTTCATCGGCTGTCTTATTATTAGCTCGCATATCTCCACCGCCTCGAGTGGAGCCTGGCTTGAGTGGCTGTCTGCCTGAGGCTCAACCAGCGAATCGGGTCGGTGAATGGCTTGAAGACTATTCCTTTTAGGGACTAGTCGAGCATCGTCTGACTCAGTTTGGTTATGTAATCCATCTTTATCTCGATGCAGTCGTCACAGTAGTATCAAAGTACTATGGCAGATCAGACACATAAAGTCGTAAGTAATAGACCGTCAGATTCGTAAAAACAATTTCTATACAGCTAGCTTATGATACATTAGCGGAATTTTTCATGAACTTCCACCTCTTCCATACGCCTCTTAACCTTTTCCAGGACTTTCTCGTCATATACCTCTGTCACATCCTTTCCACCTCGGAGGACCTCCCGCTCATGGCGAGCGCCCTCCTCCTTGGTCATGCAAACGAGGTTCTTCAAATCAATCGGAATAAACTTCTGTCCTTCCTTTTCCCACTCCGGATCAGGCAAGAAGCCCCGAGCCGGCCGTTGCCAGGGTACCAGTATCAACCGGTTAGTCAGGTTGCTAATAGCACTCCTGCCCCTCCATATCTCCTCCACGAGGTATCCAACATCATCTTTGCTGATAGGAATACGAAGCCCAACGAGATCATGCCCGGCTTCAGCCCGGGCCAATCTTTCATGCAATCCTTGTAGGGATGCCATGATGCTATCATAGAGCTTTTCCCGGCCTTTTCCACCGACATTGTAATCATTAGGATAGCCTGAGATGTCGCAGATGACGTGATTGGCAATCGCGTATCCGAAAACAGCAGGCATGGTTCCCAAGACAGGAAGAATGCGAACACGAAAGTCGGGCAGCACGCCGAGCTCACCAACCTGTCCTTTGGCGAATTCTTCCTCGGCAAGTGGTAAAAGACTAGCCTTTCCAGGACCGGGTTTCTCCGTTGAAAATACGACGGGGATTCCCGAGTTGACCCCCAGGAGCTTGAGGCGTCGTCGAGTGCTGCGCGACAGAGGGTCATCAGTACTCAGTGAGATATCGCCAACCATAATGCGTGTAGGATCGGATTTGCATCCTGCTCCCATTGACGATATCACGGGGATAGAGTTGGAATGGCAATAGTGCAGCAGTTCAACCTTTGACGTGATGTTGTCGATGCAGTCAAGCACGTAGTCTGGCTTCCGTCCCTTGTCGCTGTCATCCCAGGACCACGGAGCAAGTAGATCTGGAGCAACAGATCCACCGAAGAGTTCGTTCCTACAGTCAAACTTGACCCAGGGGACAATCTGTTCCAGTCTCTTTTTAATGCAATGCACCTTGGGTGTGCCCACGTCGGCCAGAGTAGCGAGAGCATGTCTATTCAAAGAAGACAATGTTACTTGGTCGAAGTCGATCAGGCGAATCTTCGAGACGCCCGAGCGGGCAAGCGAGGCGACAGCATGCGAGCCCACGCCACCACACCCAACCACAATGATGAATGATGAACGGAGTTTCGCTAGGCCGTCGTCGGTGAGAAATACGCGGTTACGGGCGAGTTGTTCGAGTATGAGATCTGAAACAAAGCCCGTGGAGTCAGTACCGTGGTTACCAGGGAAGGGCCGTTAGAGATTGAACCAACCGTCATCATAGTCACCCTCTTGCGCTCTTTGCGCAAGAGCCGCGCTGCGTTCGTCCTCTTTACTCAAGTGTGTTGATGACGCCGCTGTACCGTACTCTGTGAGCTTCAAGTAGAGCAGTAATCAGCGTAAGCCCTCAGTCAATCGGCGCAGTTAGGTTACCTTTTCTGCATGATGCCTTTCATCAATTGGAGGGATTGAAGCTTTGAGATGCTGCACAGCTTCCTTCCTTCTCAGTGCTTGATAGCCGAATATTGCGCCGGCCACGGCGGCCCCAGAGATCGCAGCAGTGACTGCAAGCTGAGCCTGCTGTTGGCCAACCTGGCGCTGGAGCCACGAGGACATTTGCCGCAAGTATCAGATCCGCCTTGATCCAGTTTGGTTCTTCCGAATTGACATAAAAGTGCGACAATTGCGACAATTCCCCCGAAGAGACACAATGCTTCACACGAACGACCGACCGACCTTGGATGTACGTATCAAAATCAAACGAGGAAGAAACTCACAACACAATCATGTGTTTGGCAATTGACGTAGTTTGCTCATTCTGTGGACTTTCTCGAAGCTTAAAGTGGACCATGATGTATGATCACGTGCCTCGTCCAGGCGTGTCCAAAAGGCATCGGGATTCGAGACTCTTCCGACAGTTCACAACACAGGATGTCATGTCCATCTCATTCAGCCACATGGGTAAGTTGCGCACTAATTGCAAATCACATCGTCACCCTTCGTTGTCTAACAGTACCTGGCACAGATCTGAGAAGAAAACTTTTCCTATCTCGATGACGATAAAACCATCACAAGAGCACTCATGACACAACTGAACCAAACGGGTTCCAGCCCATGGACTTCATCCTTCGCGGCGCCTGCGCTGAGAATGGAAGAAGACATGGCCTTTGTATGTGGGTGACTGAGTTGAACAGAGATCCAAGAGATTAGCGAAAGTTTGGCCTCTTCTTGTCCTAATGGTATTGATTTCGAGAACAATCTTTGCCAGAGTGATCATACTGCCCGCCCTATCCTTCTGGCGATGATGCCATCCTCTTATGGCGTGGATTGGACATTGGATATCACTTCAGGATACTTGAGAAGGCAGGGATCCATGCTGCCAGGGCTCTCGTAACTCACACAGTTTCTACACATATTTCTCTTTCCCTCTTTAACTCTTCCTCTCGGTCTCTTTCTCCCTCCCTCCCTCCCTCTCTCATTCTTTATTTTTTTGACTCCAGATAACCGAAACCTCTCAACGCCAGAGCCGATGATGACAATCCTTGCATAAACTCCGAGGTGTCATTGCCCATCTGTTTCGCGGATAACGAAACGATGCCGAGCGTACCTACCGATGAGGGGTCGAAAATTACAAAGGTAGTTTTCAATCTGATATGGCCGGCAGCGGGACTTTCTTCATTTGATATACTCATCTTCCTTCTAGTTATACCTACCCAGCGATCTCATACGATATCTCGATTCGCGGTCTCAGCTAAAATTACCGCCATGTTGGCCCTGCTAACTGTCAACAAGAGAAGTGAATGATGCCATGCTGTGAAACTACAGCTCTCTGTCCCTTAAGTTGTTTTGGAACTCGTTTTCGAGATGCAGACGGACAGATAAATACCGCAAAAGCATTATCAATGACCTCGTAATCGGCTGGGAGACAATGGTCCCAGAAGTCTACTAGACTAATACCTGCAGCTTGTCAAGTCCTCTGATACTCCCTTTTATACCGTGATACACACTCTTTTGTCGTTCTTGTTTTTTTCTTTTTATGCCAGCCCGATGACGAGTATGAAACAAAAGCCAAAGTTGTATGGTATCCGGCCATCACGTGTATACACACATTCTATTTATGCCTGGAAACCAATGAGAACCTGAGAGCTAATCTGAGGGCTGTGCTATTATTTGTTCTGTGTCAAGGAGCGTCCATCTATTATCTATGGTGAATGATATCGATAATCGTGGATTAACTAGCTAGACTCAACTGAAGGGTGTATGTAGATGGTGAATCGCATATCCAATAAAACTCTAAAAGAAATGTACGCTCAGATGCATCATGTCATTCATCATCGACTGTGCCACAGAGACACAGACACAGAACAAGGTATAGACTGTACAAGCGCAAATCAGCGCAAAAACCTCTCAACGGCGCCGCCGATATTCTTCAAGTCGAGCAGGAAAGTGTCATGTCCGAATAAGGAGATGTCCTCGCCCAGCTCGATGTGTTCGACGTTCTTGTTTCCAGCCGCGCGAAGGGTCTCGGCGATCTCACGTTGCTGCCACGCGGGGAAGAGAATATCGCTGGCAACACCCATGACCAGGACCGGGTGGTTCTTCAACGGCGCGAGTCCGGCGACGAGGTCGGCGGGAGGTGCATCTGTTTGCTCGCCTGCGGCGACTGATTCGTCCGCCGAGGAGCCGGAATCGGTTGCGGAGGGTTGTTCCTCGTAAGGCTTTTCAGGTAGTGTCAAGCTGCACGAGGCATCGTTGTAGCGGAGTGTTTTGCCGCCTTGGGCGATACGAGCCTCAAACTCCTGTCTGCGCTTCTTGGTCTCTGCCTGCTGCGACCGGCCGAGGTCGAACAGGTCCATGGCTTTGGACACGTAGAGCAGACTATTTGGGTCGTACTCGAGGCAGAACTTCTCGCCAGCATGATCGAGATAGGTCTCAATGAGGAAGTCCGGGCACAAGGCTGGCTGTTTGCTGGGGTCAGCGCGCTTGCGTCCGAACCGCTTCTCCCATTCCGGCCCGCTCCTGTACGTGACTGTTGCGATTTCTCTGGCGAGTTTCATTCCTGAGTGAGGCGGAATCGAGTCGTAGTAGAAACCGCGGTTCCATTTCGGGTCCATCATCAGCACCTGGCGCTGGGTGTGTCTCATGGCGATACTGTACGGGTGGCTCCGGGCGCATCCACTGATACTCACGATCTTTCCGATGCGCTCGGGGAACAACACTCCCGCCGCAAGACTCTGCATCCCACCCATGCTGGAGCCAACGGAGGCGTACAGTTTCTGAATCCCTAGCGAGTCCAGTAGGCGGAACTGTGCTCGAACCATATCATCCAGTGTAAGAATGGGGAACCGCGTCGCGTATCTCTTGCCGTCGGACGGATCAATCGACGACGGCCCCGTGCTCCCATAACAACCCCCAATAACATTTGTACAGATAACGAAATGATTGTCCGTGTTCAACGGCTTGCCAGAACCGATGAATTTCTCCCACCATCCCGGTTTCGGGTTGGCCTCGGTACTATGTGCATGACTCGACGCGGACAGACCAGTATGTAACAGAATAGCGTTGCTCTTGTCCTCGTTCAACTGACCCCATGTCTCGTAGGCGATATCAAATTCTGGCAGGACACCACCCCAGTCCAGCAGCATTGGCTCCTCACAGTGGAAGTTCTCATGTTTCCCGGACGTATATGAAGGTTCCGGACCCGACTCGATCGATCTGGCCGAGAGCAGCGCCGACTTCGCGTCCTGGGCGTCGAGACAAGGAAATGAAAGTGCCGGGTTCGATGAATCTCGCGTTGAAAGATTTTCGGCGGTGGCAGTTTGTCCTTTCCGAATAGGAGCAGAGTGTAACAGGCGACGATTAGCCGTGCCTGGTGTCAATGTGCTGATTTGAAATCGGTTTTTTGCAGTGGTGAAACTGGCCGTGATACTTTCGCACTGTCTCCACAGCCCGATGGACTTGAGACCGCGAGGAGCTGAGCGTGCCACGCCTTGGAGAGAGCTCATTTTCTTTCGCCAAAATCAAAGCGAGGCAACTATCGAGCAAGAGCTGAATGCTCCAGGTGAATTGGACTGCTGATGAATGGGGTGGAGAAGCCATCATTCTGGCCTACAGTGTTTATATGTGCTTTCTTTTGAATTTCCGCATTGCGCAGGCGGAGAGCTGCCTCAGGGCCCCGCAGACCTCCAGAGGGCTAATGGCGTCATTTTTAGGACGTCTGATTGGCTGCCACGTTTGGCAGGTCCCCGATGCTCCCGCTACGTCCTGAGAGTCAGCTAGGTAGGTATGTACTTTCGAGTAAGAATGGACTATAGAGGTTCATTTCAAGACGATGCACAGGTCATGAGCGCTGAAAAGGAAGAAAAAATGCGGTATGGTAAGAGTTATCGTCTCCAGTATTCAATTCGATGCTATGGCCAGCATGGCATCACTTGAGCCCACTAAGTGTGATCAAGTTGTCTGCACCTATATCTATCCCCGTGACATACATGCATCTCTTTGGTGCACAATTGGCATGAAATATCATAAATGTCCCGTTGGGAGCGACGGTAGCTCCCCCAGGAGACGTCAGGTTAAAGTCCCCCGTCTTGACTAAGGCGCGAGGGGCCCTCTTATACGGCCCCTTCAAAGACGTCGAGTAGGCGTACTTGACATCGTACTTGGGAGAAGTAAAGCAATGAGACGAGAAAAAAAGGTAATAATAGCCCTGGTCGGTCCGGATGATGTTGGGAGCCTCGACCAGAGGCCCATCTTCCTCTTCGTTCTTGAGAATTTCGACAGGGTCACCAACCGGGGTGATACCGTCATCTCGTAGCTCCTGAAGCATGATGGAGACTTTGACAATGGGTTTCTTGCCATTGTTACAGTCGCCGCCGTGGCCGATGCTATTACCATCATTTTTGTACGTGACGTACAGTTTTCCGTCCGTGTCTCGAAATGGCGACGGGTCAATGGCACCTCCATGTTCCCGGGGACAAGCAAGAGGTTTCGAGATGGGCAGGTAGGGTCCGAGAGGGTCTTCGTTCTCTGAGATTGCGGCACCAATGCAATGATGGCGCTTCCAGTCCTTCAATTCCCCAGAGTAATATAGCACGAATTTACCGTCATTCTGTAGATAAGCTGTCAGAATACGATATGTCTCAAAAGAATCGTTATGGCCCGGTGCATACTCGCTGAATGACATCCGGAGCCCAGTGATTCACGCCCATTTCCCAATCTGCCAATGTAGGCATCGCATCGTGACCATCCAACCGCGTCCAATTCTTTAGGTCCTGAGATGTAGCGACCGGAACATGGGCAACGTCAGAATTGTTTATGGCCGCATTGGTTGCATAGGAATACCACGTGCCATTGACGCGGATCATCCCAGGATCGGGAAAATTGTATATGGCGCGAATCGGTCGGTTCGACTCGTCCTTATAACTCGGATAGTCGGGAGGCTCTCGATGACGAAGTAGGACGATCGGAACAGTTATCACCACGACGATGATCGCTATCACCAGGAACCCTGTTATCCCAAGGATGATGATCTTCTTCTGCGTTAATGGTCTGAGGCTGATTACAGCGAACCAAGGCTTCGATGGTGTGTCATCCTCTGGCTGCAGAGAATAAACAGAAGACGTGAGCTGGCCCTTCTTGGTAGTAACGGTGGAAAGGAGGCGTCCTGTCATCCTTTCCCAGTGGTCGACCAGCCCACGAGCCTTAATCAAACATCTGCTCTAGAGAGCGGTGGAAAGTGTCAACAGGCGACAATATCAACGATGCATGAGTCCAACGGAATTGATTGCTCTATCTCATGCTCAGGAAAGTATGGGAAGCGAAGATCAATTGAGGCATGGAGTTTTTATGGCCCGCCAAACCAGATCTGCAGACCATGGTGTTTTTTTGGAAGAAGGCTGACTCCTGAGGCTGTGACAAGCGCTCTGCCAAAAAGTCAATTCACCCGTTGCTACGCCACAGAAGTCAGGACAGACGGGACAATTCAGGTACAATTGGAAACTTGCAGTTACTGGGTTCCAGAACTAAGTAGACCTCTGCGGACCAGGAGGTGGCCAATCCACCAATCCACAGAGAAATGATCACAATCGCAATATCAATCGAGGATTGTTAGTGGTTAAAACTTTCACGTGTCTTCCAATTTCATGTTGCCTGAGGGCCCTGGGCACCCACACTATCCACTAGAACAGCTCAACTCAACCTCCCTCCCAGAAGCGCGAAAATCTCTCAGCTGCTAGGTTATGAAGCTAATCAAATACGTATTCAGAAGTCAGAACAATCTGTCCTAAACACTCAGATATGTGATGCAAATGTAGATCTCTAGACACATAGGATAGGATAGGCTATTCCTCTATGTTGAAAGATCCCTCGAGTTTCCCGACTTTAAACTGTCGATGGCGATCCTCGTACCCTATTGCCCAACCAGAACGCTTTTTCCTTTATCCACCATGAATCTCGAGGACAAGATTTTGAGGCTTCCAGATATGAAGAAAACCGAGATCTTTGTAGAGTCATGACAATCAACACAACCCGATATATCATCGGTTTATCTACATTGCCTGGTTTCCCGAGCTCTCAGACTATAGAAGCCGAATATGGGGTGGTAGCGCACCTAATAACGCTAACCATTAGTGTAATCCTCCATGCCAAAGAGGAAGTTATCGCAATCGACACCCAAATCCTGGAAAATATCGTCAAACAAGGACCCAGAAATTGCCTCCTCAAGCGGTGCATCCCCACTGCCATCTGGTGTAGGATATCTCGTCCCCAGGATCCTCGTGGAGAGCCTTTCAAAGGTCCGGATGCATTGTTGGACATATGTACTCAAATGTTCATGCGTGCGGAGGGCCGACATGACATCTTTCCAAGATTGCGATACCGACTCGGTGAACAGGTCCGATCGGAACATGGCTGCCAGAAAGTTGGTTCCCGCGATGTGTAAATAGTAGATTCGGTACCACCATGGCAGGAGACCCATTGGTTCATTTGGCTCAATTGTCTCGATGATCAAAGATGTGACCCTTTGCGCTGTTTCAACGCACATTCCAGCACATTCCCTGAGAAGCCGGTCGCTTAGGCTGGGAGGCGTGGATGTTGCCTGACCTGTTGCCGTGTGGGATTTACTCGAGTAGAAGCGTGCGAGCATGGGCCTGTACAGGTAGATTCGAGAGTGAAGAAGGCTAGTGCACAGGCGTCAGCAGGACTAAGATGCAAGGTCACGCGAAAGAGAAGGGTCCAGTCCGTTTTCTCTTACCGAAGGTGAAGTAAATATCGTTCTGCTCGAGACCCCCTGTCGACAACCTTTTGAAGGTTTTGCAACTTCCAATCGCTGGGAAGATCTTTCTCCCATTTGTCGAGGCAGGCGTCTAGCTGTACCGCCACGGTGTGGTATTCGTCTTGTTGATACAGACGTGGCAGTCCCAATCTGGCAGCGAGAGTGTTCCGAGTCTGTGTCTGTGCCAACTGAATCTGATTGCCAATTTCGTGAAGTTCCAGTTCCCGTGCGAGACGCTCGGCATACCTACCGCTGTGTTGGTCGCTGCCGCCTAAGCACATGGAGTTGGCCCTGTTTGGTAAGGGTATCAGAGACGGCGCCGATGTCCTGCCGAGTGACCAGGAAACGCATCTAGGGTCGAGTTTAGCTATGATTGGAAGGCAATACTTGCTTGAATTTACGTCTACCAAGGAGCTTACCGGTCCAAGGCAACACAGCTAGCCCAAACCTGCTGTTTCAACTGCGTGTCGCTGCAAGAATCTTTCGCTGAAGACGTCTCGGCCAAATGACAACACATACTCTGGGCGATTCGTGTCGCCAGCCCCGCCGTCATCCATGTTTTCTGTTGGTTGTTGGTGCAATGGAGGTATCGGTTCATGAGAATCAAGCACTGTACAAGCTCGATCGTTCCAGGCTCCCAGAGAATAGTTTCGGGTCGGAGAAGTGCCCACGCGCGCTGAAAATAGTGATGCGACTCTTCATCCCGTTTCTGTAGAGGGATCGATTCTTGCCTCTGCACTGCCAGGGCAAAGACAGCATTGAGTATGCCGAACCAGACGTCACGGTCCGCGTGGAGCAATGCATGAGTTTTTGAGTACGACGCCTCATAGTCGCGGAAGAAGCGTTCTCGGCCCAAGATGGGCTCCACAGGATCTACATATTGCCAATATATACGGACGAGCCTATCAGCATATGCGCGAGGAGGTAATCCAGCAGGAAAATCAGAGACATTGTACGGAGGAGAGTGCAGGTCTATCTCTCCGAACAAGGGCGCATCTACGAACGGGACGAGGTGTGATGTGGCAGCCGGAGCAAGACCAGCCCTCACATCTATTGCTGCTGTGACTTCGCCAGCAAACCGCCCATGTGCGGTGTAGCACTCGCGGGCCTGATCTGGGTCCGGGTCTGGCTCTTGGTCTTCATCTAAGTGCTCCAATGTAGAGGATAGTTCAGCCGCCGACGGGGTCTTGTTGGTTAATTTCAATGGGGTCTTGAGTGAGGGAGTGCGCAAAGTTGGAGACGACTCAGATGAGGCCGAAACAAGAACATCACTCCGAATTAATGGATCGTGTTCGACTTGGGGCTTGCGCTTGGTTTCCACTTGCCGAACGGTGACTGGATTTCGACTATACGTACATGTCTTTCCTCTGCCCAGGCATCTGGCACAGGCTGCAAAAATGACATGTATCGGTCAGTCTCAAGCGAGTGAGAAGATCATTTTGAAAGGAGCCACAAGAATACCCGGACGCCCGCCGTCGCATTTCGCCTTCCTCAAACGACAAGCTTGACAAGCGTTTGAGATTCTCAATCGCTGTCTGCGTAGTGGCTTCAACGGTACGTCGTGCCTTTTTCCCTCATCTTGAATCATCGTACTCATAGTCACCTCCACCAAGTTATGCGGGTGGTAAGTAATAGTCAGGTTAGTTCAAAGAGGAGACAACAAATATACGGACCAGTGGAGTTGAGAATGTGGTTCGGTACCAGTACGGAGTACCTTAGCGGAGCTCGATTTGAGCCAATCACAGTTTGCTCCGCGAGACTTTCGCTTCTACTGCGGAAAGCAGTATAATTGGCTAAAGTTAATCCTGTAGTGGGGTCTTGATCCAGATGACAAACTTAGAATTAACTTCTCAGCCAATCAAACATACATCCTGTCATTGAATACTTCGAGATTGATGGCCAATGAAATGCAGCTCCGTCTTTTGATAGTTGCTTCTTGATGTGTTTGTTCTTCGATACTGACATCTAGTATAAATCACTCGAAGCCATGGCAGATTACGAGCTGAACATACCGCAATCTCTTTTGTTCATCTTTTGTTCTCTTAAACAGATTTTGCCTGCTCTAAGTCAGCAGAAGTATGTCTCAACAAGCTGAATCCAAAACAGCAGCCGATCCTGGCGAGGCCGAGAAGAGTCATCTCTACGATGGCCAAGGCACTGAGGAAGACCCTTTCGTGGTTGAGTTCCAAAAGGACGATCCTCAGAACCCCATGAACTGGTCTCAGTCCCGGAAATGGCTCATCACAATGATTGTGACCTTGTCTGTCTTCGCCGTCACGTTCACGTCTTCCGCATACTCCGTGTCCGCCAACGAAATCATTCCGGAATTCGACATTAGCACAGAGGTCTTTACAGTCGGCCTTTCTCTTTTTGTGCTTGGATTTGCAATTGGCCCGGCAGTATGGGGTCCCTTGGTTAGCAAACCCTCCCTTTGTTTTGTCTACTTCCAGATACACAAGGCTGACGGTCCCTTTTCTAGTGAGCTTTTTTTTTATTCTGGCATACGCAGCTATCGTCCTTGTGCTAACTGCCTGCAACACCTGAAGATCTGAACTTTATGGCAGACAAATCCTCTGGGTCATTTCCCACGTCGCCATGGTGGCCTTCATTGGAGGTTCTGCTGGAAGCCAAAACGTCGCCACCCTACTGATATTGCGATTCTTCGGCGGCACATTCGGTAGCTCGCCGCTGGTCAACTCGGGGGGTGCTATCGCAGATCTCTTCCCCCCGGCTCAGCGAGGCCTTGCTATGACACTCTACTGTGTCGCGCCCTTTCTTGGTCCCATCCTTGGCCCTGTCGTCGGCGGGTTCGTTTCTGAAAACGTTGGATGGAGGTGGGTGCAGGGGTTGTGCTGTATCTTTATAGGAGTGATAGGTAATTCCCAGCGTTTATTCTGCTCCTGAAACACCATTAATCAGGCGTAATAGGCATTCTTGGGGTTCTTTTCGTCCCCGAGACATATGGCCCGGTGCTGCTGATCAGAAGGGCAAAGAAATTGTCCAAAGTTGATGGCGAAGTTTACATCAGTGTTCTCGAAAAGAGTCAGGGCAGAAAGAAGCCGTCTGAGGTCTTTCAAAGAGCCCTGAACCGGCCTTGGGTTTTGCTCTTGCGAGAACCTATTGTACTAGTGGCCTCGCTCTATATGGCCATCATTTACGGCACTATCTACATGTTCATGGGTGCCATGCCTATCGTCTATAATGAGGAGCGTGGATGGAGCGAGGGCATCGGAGGGCTTGCGTTTATGGGTATTGCTGTTGGTATTATTCTAGGATTGGCTTATGCTATCTACGACAACAATGGGCGTTACAAGAAGCTCTTACTGGCTAAAAAATCAACTGCGGAATCACGACTACCACCAGCCACTGTTGGTGCTGTTGCCTTGCCAGTCGGCATGTTCGCCTTTGCATGGACCAACTACCCCAGCATTCACTGGTCCGTCAGCATCGTCCTCTCAGCACCCTTTGGCTTCGGTTGTGTCCTCGTTATCCTGCCAATCGTCAACTACCTGATTGATTCCTACACCATCTACGCAGCCTCCGTTCTTGCAGCTGCCGCCATCTTCCGCTCAATCGTCGGTGCCGTGTTTCCCTTGTTCACCACCCAGTTGTATGACTCGCTAAAAGCCCAATGGGCGACATCTATCCCGGCCTTTCTAACATTCGCTTGCATGCCGTTCCCGTTCGTCATGTACCGTTATGGTGGGGCGCTGAGGATGAAGTGCAAGTATGCTTTCGAAGCTGCTGAAATGATGAGACGGATGCAGATGCAACAAGACCCCGTCCCAGCTAGAAAAGAGGAAGAAGATTCCCCTTCAGAGTGAGGAAGAAGGGTATGTTGTGAGGAATGAAGTATTCATGCAAGCTTCCACACCTAGGTATGCCTCAGACTTCCGCGTAGTCTGAATAGGAAGAAGTCTAAGGTAAAGTGAAAAGCCTTTAACGCTCCCTCATCCACTAGGAAGCTGTCCTATGTTTGCGTTACATCCATCGGCTAGCATGTCGCACTTAGTTGTTATTATCTATTTGTCTTCCCTACCTTGTACATGTTACAGTCCTTTCAATCTGGAAAGAGAAGTAACTTGCGCCAACTGGATATTACAATGGAACTCATTCATCTATCATTATACATATATATCCTTCTAATACTAACGGAAAAAGACTCACACTCTATCAAGGTCTCTGATCTGCCATTCCCCACTGTCCCAAATGGTGCCTCGATTTAAAGACAAAGCTTCCCAAGATCAAGATAGAGACAGAGAAAGCAGAAGCATTCATTTTCGGCCAAGAAGGACGACTTTCATTGCAGAACTTCTCAGTCAGGAAGCAAAAGTACTGCTCACCCAGCAGTAGGATGTGATTCATACTATTCTGAGCTCATGATGTATCTAGCCAAGTAGTATTCGGACTGAATTGTTCCTGAACTAAGAGGTCAATCCACGGTTTGTTAGTGGGAACAGTTACACCGGCCCTTCTATGCCCGAATCAAGCCAAACAACGTCCGGTTCGGCTACACGTGTGCACCATCTCAGTGATGAATACTAGGTAGGTACTGCTTAACAAGACTGACAGCAAGAGGTACTCTTTGCCTAATGATTCTCTATGAATAATGAAGGAAAATCATCAAGCTCTAGAAATCATTCCATATCTGGGCTGCTCGACATGTGTTTGCTGGCCCCGCATTCCAGTCGGGTGAGCTCGCTGTAACTCACTCTAAAGGTAAGAAAGGGTTCATCCACTGATGGAAAAACCCCAGCATGTGAAAACAATTGAATGAACAAATTGATTATGGCTAGTTATGATTAGACGTTCTTGTTGAGACCTATCTAATATCTATACCAGGATTAGTTGTCTACTTGAAACTGGTGATCTTCGCATTTCAACCACTGACTTCAAGACTTGAAGGTCATCCTCGTGTTCCTCCAGTACTCCATCTTTTATCCAATCACCTACAAACAAATCAACTAACTAGATGCAAGCTCTGACGCCAAGTCTTTCGTGCAGATTTGTTCTCTGTATACCCCTGTCAATCTCGATTGCAATGACGCGGCTTAGGAGGTTGAGGAATGCCCCATAAGCATGACTACCATTGCATACAGGCTACAGCTTATGGCTGAGAAACGAACAGAATCAGACTGAAAGATGGAAAGGTAACCTAACGACCTGAGTTATGAACTTATGAAGCATCTAGATCGATCTCAGAATCCAGAATGCTCCGTCGAGGGTGGAGCTTGCAATATTCAAGAGAAGATAACAGAGTCACCCGCAGAAGCTGATCCTCGCCGAAAACGGCCAACACCATCACCAACTCCACGCCCATCCCAGGTAGAATACAACCTCATCAATCTGGATTTTCATGCTTTCTATACAATTTCTTATCATGAGGTTTTCCTTGGACATGACCGTCTGCCGATCCAGGAGACCGACATCATGGCGTCATGGCAAGGGAGCAATTTGGCCAGGGAGTCGATCCGCTTCCCATTGCGGTAATGCAGTGAGAGCGAGGGTAGTAGATCCAGCATATAAGGTAGTGTACTCCTTCAATCCTTGTGCATTGTGTGCTGTAAAAGTGCAAATAGGAGTGGTACAAGAGAAGACTTGATCCAGTCAAGCTCCTACTACTAGGTCGTACTAATACACGTACTCCCGAGACTATCGTCGTCATCCTCTGATCCTTATCGGCCCTATCCCACGCCAAAAGTTGGACGCCACCAGTTTTTAACGGCAGTCCTGTCCTACTACTTGCAGGCTCCACCGATTTTTTTAGTTCATCTTCCTACTTCCCTTTTTTCCACCTTATTTTTCTTCTTTGATCTGCACATATCCCTCTGCTTAGTTGTATATTGCATCTACCTCTTGTATTTTTGCTTGTTGCTGTCACTGACCTCATTCATTCCTGGGAGTGACACAATTCTTCCGGGACTCACTTCCACTCCCATTGTCTCCGAGTGTACCGACTGTGATCGCGCAAGGCCCCTCACACAATTCTTCATTCTCTCCCATAATAAGTGCAGATATGTCTGGCCGCCGTCAGTCACTGATTTGAGTCGATCTCGGGCCTTTCCTCTCCTCCCCATCCGAATACTCAGCTCCCGCGTTGATCGTTTGCGGAGCCTGCGGAGAAGCTCGTGGCAACCCCCCTGAAGGAGATCTAGATCTCTCTTCACAAATCATCTATCCAATCGACTCCCGTCACGCTGCTCTGATTTTCCAGCGCAACAATGCTCACCTTCAGAAAGTCGCTAATTGCGGCCGTCGTCCTGATCGCCTTTGTCGTCCTCCTTCGATCCGCACATTCCTCCCCTTCCGCCGAAACCCCCGTTCTCAACACGGAAGAGACTGTCTACGACGTCAGTCAAGCAGAAGACGAACAGCCTACAGGTCAAAAACAGATTATACAACAGCAGCCGCTGAAGCCACCGCCCACCGCTCCCTTGCGCGAACGACTCCGTTACCAATTCCCATACGACCTCGAAAGCAGATTCCCCGCGTACATCTGGCAGACATGGAAGTACACCCCTGCATCCATGTGGTTTGCCGAAGACCTACGCCCGGCTGAAGCGAGTTGGACAGAATTACACCCGGGGTTTGTCCATGAAGTCATTCCGGACGACACTCAGCGGCATCTCGTGAAGTACCTCTACGGCTCGGTCCCGGAGGTGTTCGAGGCATACGAGTCGATGCCCTTGCCTGTCTTGAAGGCGGATTTCTTTCGGTACTTGATTCTGCTGGCCCGTGGAGGCATCTACAGTGACATCGACACCTACGCGCTCAAACCCGCCTCCGACTGGCTGCCTGTGGAGCTGGATCTGGCGACGGTCGGTTTCGTGGTCGGAATAGAGGCCGACCCCGACCGGCCTGATTGGCACGACTGGTATTCGCGCCGGATCCAATTCTGCCAGTGGACCATCCAGTCGAAGCCTGGGCATCCGATCCTCCGCGATATCGTCGCATACATCACTGAGGAGGCGCTGCGAATGAAGAAAAAGGGGGTCCTCAAGGAAGGGAAGATGGACAAGACTATCGTCGAGTTCACTGGACCCGCTGCCTGGACGGACGCGGTTTTTAGATATTTCAACGATCCGGAGTACTTCAGCATCGAACCAGGGTCGACTCACAACGTCACGTACGAGGATTTCACCAACCAGCGGGACTTTAAAAAGGTCGGTGACGTCGTGGTTCTACCCATTACCAGTTTTAGTCCGGGCGTTAATCAGATGGGAGCGGGCGATCTGGATGACCCCATGGCGTTTGTCAAACACGATTTTAGTGGTACGTACTTCCTCACATGTTGCTGCGCTGGAGACAAACTTGACTGACTTTATTCATCAGGGTCATGGAAGACAGACCCATCTCTCTAAAGATCGCTCGCGTGGCATCGTCATGCCATTTGTTACAACGACCCCTGCCTGAGACCTGTCAGGCCTGTGGACAGGCAGAACTCTACATCCCGGCTCCTGGACCCGAGCGAAGCTCGTACAGAAGCCCCAGGAAGCCTAGTCGTCCTGCTCGGGTCGGTATCACTTCGGTACCTACCACGACTCGAGTCCAACCGCACATATCTGAACACAGTGCTTTCCATCAATAGCACGTTAATGAGCCCACTCTCTATGACAACTTGTCATCCAAGAACTCTCAATCCGGCACAGTTGTCGAATCTTATCATTTCGGATGCATGCGTATCTACACTTGGAAGTCTCTTTAACACACTACAGATTCGAACTAGAGCTGTGGCATGTGCTTCTGCAGCCAAGTTCGACCCACAGCGCTACCTGTCACTATTACCCGGCCACATATGCGTGTCATCCAGGACAAGGATAAGAGCGGAAGTATTCGGTGACACTCACCTCATCATATTTAATTCGACTCGACGATCGCATGGCATTGACTACCAGCGATCCATTCCGGTCAGCAAGCTTTTTGCTTGATTGGTCCTCTATTATTCATGAACAATGCATACGTTGCATATACAGCATATTGAATAGACTATATAATCAGAAGAATGAACTAATTGTCCTTATACTCCTGCTGTGCATTCAATCGTAGGGATTATTAGAGGGATGGTTGCATGTACAAGACGCTGCAACTAGAGGTAGCTATATATCCGACCGCCCATTTTATGTGAATCCTTCACGCCCCTTGCCTTCATAGGCCCATGGGTATTATATTCAGAAACCAGGAGACTTAGGCCAGATGATGTGACAGATAGACATGCAAGCGAGTTGACAAAAGCCCCAATGAGAGACATGAGATACATATTATATAGACAGAAATGGTAGATTGCATTATACATCATGACACATGCAGAGAAGAAAAAGAAAAAGACGGATTTTGTCGTCGGCAATACTCTCGACATATCGATCGAGAAATGAAGACAGCATTGCTCTGTCTCTGTATACTATATAGTTGTATGGATTGGTGGGCGGCTGCAGGCCTTATGAACTGTGGTTACAGAAACGATAATACAAATTTTCGTAACGTCGTGGCAGGAGCGTTCCGTATCAGCGTAGATTGTCGTGGCAGACATCCGGACTTTACAATGACTCTCATGTTGAATGCGTATCAGGGTTGTGAAGAGACCGGTATCGCGAGTTGAGATCCCAGCCTTAAAAGTCGCTGAACAAAGCTTCGTACTTTTTCTTCATGTCGTCGGTATACATGGTCTGACCCCTCACGTCTGCGTCGGGATAGTCCTCGAAGTTTCCGGTATCTGCGGGATGGTCAACTCGCGGGATGATGGGCCCTTTCATGCGCCGGTGGAACAAGTCATCCCAATTGATGTCCTCAAAGAACGGATGCGCTTTGACTCTCGCAGAGCCACCTGATATGTGTCCAAGCCGCTCACTTGGATTGGTCTTGCAAAGACATGATATGATGTTCTGGGCTGCGGGCGACATGTTCGGAGGAAAACGCAAGCGGCCCTCAACGATCTGTTCGTAGATGCGCATCGGGTTCTGATCCCAGAACGGGGGCTGCCCTACCAGAAACTCGTAGATGAGGATCCCGAGAGCCCACCAGTCCACTGCGAGGCCATGCCCGCTGTTGTGGATCACCTCGGGAGCGAGGTATTCCGGAGTGCCGCATAACGTGTATGTCTCGCGATCGTTGATCTGCTTCGCGAACCCGAAGTCGACGAGCTTAATATGCCCGTCAGCATCCAAGAGTATGTTTTCTGGCTTCAGATCACGGTAAACGACACCCTCAACGTCATGAAGGTACTCGATCGTTAGCGTGATCTCGGCGGCATAGAATCTCGAGGTGTTTTCGTTGAATCGTCGCGCACGTCGAAGATAGCTGAAGATCTCGCCTCCGGGGCAGTAGTCCAGCTAGGTAGGAAGAAGGTCAGACGTGGATACCAATAGAATACGACGGCGACGAGGTCCAGCAGAAGGCAGGGCATGGGAAGGTTCGTTCTTCACAAGACGCGGTGGCTTGCATACCAGCATATATAGGCTCTGCTCATCGGAAAATGTCGCGATCAAAGTCGTGATAAAAGGGTAGCCGGCAACCGCAGCAAGTGCTTTTCGCTCATTGCGCACATGCTCTACTTGCTTCAACTTGATCACTGTAGTCCCAGAGTCGCTCGCCAGTCAGCCCGGTCAAAGATGCGGATAGAAGCTTTCACATGCATCCTCACCATCTGCCTTGCGTAAAACCTTTAGCGCGTACACATTGTCTCGTCGGATTGTTTCATCTTTGAACTTCGCCAGCCACACTCGTGCAAAGGTACCTAGACGCCCCCCCCAGCGGTGTCAACATCGCGCACTGCACACCTCGCCACTTGTGTCGAGACTTACCAGTGCCGAGTGTTTTGATGAGCACAAAATCACTAACACGAAGGCTCTGAGTCGATATCCCCAGCTGCTTCTCCTCCGGCCGATCTTTGATGACAAAAGGATTCACTGATCTCTGATGAGGGGGTCGGATAGAAGCAACCATCTGCTTTTCTCTTTCATGAACGTTTTCCAAAGGAGCGTCCACCCTCCTGGATGAGGGAGAGGAGCTCTGAACCTCACTATGTGTCGAAGGTTCGGCCTTTCCTGTAGCCATTGGGATGGCAAGAGATCATGTCTCGAGGACAGCGGGGAATGGATGTGGGGGAGAAAAAGAGCGCCGCAGGAGCAATTGATTGTGACGAATTGCAATTTCGAGGGCTACTGGGAGAAGCAGGCAGAAATGGGAAGATCAATCATTAAATGACCTGTGAAAATGCTAGATAAATCAAGGGAAGCCTTGATCAATCCTTCATGGGAGATGGACAAGAGCTTTTGCTGAAGTTCGTTTTTTTCTGGCCCCGGAGTCAAGTAGCCATGGTCCAGGGCGGCGTTACGGAGCACAGATGCTCTGACGTTACCGACTGGCGGGGCAGCCTGTCAACGACTCGGCATACATATACCACTAGCGTGATCGGTCAGATACCGGTTGGAGTGCATGCTTTCTGACTACATTCGATGCTATTTTTGAATATCCGATGAATTTTTGAGGCCAAACGTATAAGTGTGAGATCAAGATCTTCATGTCCAGGACTGTGGAGCAAACGCTAATACAAAAAGGCCCTGAGAAGTCATACGGATAAGCTTCCAGAATATAACACGCGCAGAAATCGTCCCTTGACAGGAGGAGACACCGGTTGCGCCTTTAGCATGGCCGAGAAACCCATGCATTTGGCCACGCAGTTATATATCACCAGGAGGCACCAACGCTATTATGCACGTCGATCTAGACGCACTCCGAGTTGCAAGCACATCATCGAGGATTCGGTGTGAAGCTCAGAGAAGGAGAAGGGTTTATTTGCTCTTCGAGTTGAGGATGAGACCGACAATTAGGCTGCCAGCAGTTAGCACTGATATGTCTTCGTTGCCAATTGGCGGGAAGACAAACCCATAAAGACCGAGAACTTCGCCAAAAATGAGGATAAGAATCATCCCGACATAGACTCGGGATTGCTGCATGTAAGCACGAACACCCTCAAGCAGATGTTAGCATCGAAGTCAGATAAAAGCATTGTCGCCAAGTTGCTCACCGCATCACCAACGATGCCAATGGTATATCCGGCGGCCACGCCCGCGAGGCCAACCGATAATCCGGATGCAAGGTGCATGAATCCACTAATCGCGGCCATCAATAACAAAATCACCAATTTGGGTCCGATGTTGCGCGACCTACGTGTACAAGCTCATGTTCTGTGTTGGAGGCGGTGCCATGTCTCCTGCGATGAGAACTGCAATGACCAACCCGTAGACTGCGATGATACCAGACATGACGACTGGAATCAAGGACTATGCGAAGCAATTAGAAGGCTTACTTGAAAATAATCATCTGAAACTCGCTGGGTGAAAATTGCCGAACCTTCATGATCAAATCCGGTCTAAACGTTCCTACACCAGAGATACCGATACCAGATTTTGCCGTTCCATATGCCGCTCCCATTGCTGTAGCATTGTGAGTCTCTCATCTCATTTTTTACCACTTCGCAAACGATCGAATTAAGACGTACACCCGAAGATCATCTTCGAGAGGTTGTTAGTACAGCGTAGAGTAACGATTCGTAGTTATGGTGAACCCACTGCAGATGCGATTCCCGCCTGCAATCTCCAGTCAGCAGATGTTTCTATCACACCACAAAGATTAATATTGGAGGACTTACAAAGGAGAAAAATGGCGCGAATTTGGGAGCCAGCTCGCTTTCCGCCATTTTGAGTATCTTTTGTGATGACGAACCGTCCGAACAGAGTGGAAAGGGGCAAAGAAAACGGGACTAAGGTTGAGCTGAGCTCAAGAGTCGGTGACAAAGAAGTATGCGACCAGAAACAAGAGCAAACAGAGTAGTTAGTCCGATATGTACTCCTTAGGCAAGTGACGACCAACAGTAAGTCGTAGTATCGAACTTATCTCTCAGTAGACCGAGGGTTGACCAAGTTGTTCGCTGCGGGCGACCGTAGTTACCAGTATCGCCGCAGAGCCACCGCCCGAGCTTAGCCACTCCGGGTAAAGGCCGACATGTGCCTGTTCCCTCAACCCAACTAACATTGAACCCCCCCGTGCTTTTCCATCTCGAGACGGCCCCGTTCTTCATCCACCTCCCCGTCGTCAATAATACATTGCTTTGTCATATCTCTTGGTTATTATAGTTAGTTGCTTATCGATCTACGACGGCACACACTGCGACGACCTCTTGCCTCCTCCTCCTCCTCTTCTTTTACTACGTCTCCTCCCCTAACACCTTCGCCCCTCCTGTCTCACGCATTCCTACTTGCTATCCCGAGATCCCCTCCGGTTTCTGGCCTAGTGTTTCTTGAATTTTGCAGCCCCAGGAGTCTGCTCACATCGATAGATCGGCCAGTCCGAGAGAGAATGCTGAGGTTATGAATAGCGGGGGCTCTGGCTTGCGGTTGCGCTCAAGGCTTCTAGCGCATTTCGATCGTTAACACATCGCTCAAGACCTTTTCCAGGCTCGAATTTGTGACAGGGCCAACTCGGACTGAGGAATGAGAGTGCAGGGGAATTCTTGTGTCAAGACTTTTCCTCCCTCTCTTGTTTGCTTTTATTTCCGCTCTCGTTTTTGCTTGGCCTGTGAACTGTCGCTTGTGGAGTAATCCACGACATCGGTTCTCGACCTCCCCACGACTTAAACGATCATCTCGCGACGCTTTGAACGTTTTATACGACCACTTCTGGATCACCGTGCCGAACTACCTCTTCTGTCTGGCTCATCGCCATAGCCGGACACTTTCAAAGGTAGAAGCAGAGAACAACATAAAAGGATAGGATGGCCGATCTCGGTGGCCAACAGGGCCGGAACTACCGGCCTTATGGACATGCCTCCTCTTTCCAGCGCGATGCTGCATTTTCAGAGATATTCGGCGGGGCACCGCCACCTGGACGCTCTCAGACAATGACCTCGCAGACGCCTCAGTTTTCGCAGGATCGCGCCCACACAATGTCATCGCATGTGCCACATCCTCAAATGCAAAGGCCGCCCCCGCAGCCGGCTCGTCAGGGGCCGAATGGCTACACACCGGCAGCTCCGAACGGACACTATCAAGCATACCCCGGGCCCGCAGCTATGGCTCCTCAACAATCTTCCCACAATCCTCCGCGACCATATCCTGGGCGTTATGTCTATCCTCAGCCCCAACGGTTAGATTCGAGACCCACTCCTGGCCCACAGTATCCAGATGCCAAGGGATACAGTCGGGCTATGCCTCCTCCCGCTCTGAATTCAGATGCATACAGATCAAGGTCAATGGCGCGAATGGGTGGCCCGCAGATGTATCAGCAGCCGCCACCCAGCAGTTTCAATCACACTTCTGCAAGCGCTTTTCGTCAACAACCATATAGCTCGACAACTCCAGTAACTGATCAAGGACGTGTTGTGCCGGTGAGGCATGCGAATGAACGCGCAATGTCACTGACATCTTACTCCATGGATCGCGACCATTCTCACACCACGCAGACGGGCCGGGTAATCCCGACAAGGAGGCAGCCATCTGGTCCAAGTCAACCCCCGACGAATCAGTTTGAAGATGAGCCTACGAGCGCTCATAGTGCAAACGGGAGACCGCGACCGCCAAGTGACGGATCGACAAATTCCCGCGCTATGTCTATGGCGTCGACCATCGTGCCGGATCGAACCATGAGTATGCAGAGCCAGATGACGCACAGACCCAGCAATCAGAGCACGTTAGTTTCCAACAATTCCCGCCGGAGCAAGGTCCCACTGGTGTATCCCGCCCTACTCTCACGGGTCGCTGATGTCTTTCGCGAGAGAATTCCGCTGGGAGAACGACAGAAGAACGGCTTGTCTTATCAAAATGCGTTTTCTGGTGCGGAGGCTGTGGACCTTATTACTCACATAATTAAGACAAATGATCGAAATCTTGCTCTTCTTCTGGGGCGAGCGCTCGATGCGCAGAAGTTTTTTCACGATGTGACGTACGATCATCGACTTCGAGACGCTCCTGGGGAAATTTATCAATTCAAGGAAACCATGGGAGAAGAGGCGCCAAGTTCCGAGGTCAACGGAGTTTTCACGCTTTTGACAGAATGTTACTCGCCCACCTGCACGCGCGATAGTTTATGCTATTCTATTGCGTGTCCAAGAAGACTGGAACAACAGGCAAGATTGAATCTCAAGCCGCAACCAGGTCTACGGACGTCCGCCTCGAAGGGCAGCCTTCACGGCGATGACGATAATGATAATCAGAAACTCTGGATTAATATGGTTCCCAAGGAAGTTTCTGACAGTATCGACGATCGCGAAAAGAAGCGCCAGGAAATCATTTTCGAGATCATGTACACAGAACGTGACTTTGTCAAGGATCTGGAATACCTGAGAGATTTCTGGATGAGACCTTTGCGTTCGGCCGGCAACGCAAACCTATCCCCCATCCCGGAGCATCGGCGTGAGAAATTCATTCGAACAGTGTTCGGCAATTGCTTGGAAGTTCTGAAAGTTAATGGCGCTTTGTGTGAAGCCCTCAACTCCAGGCAGAAGGAAAGTCATGTGGTGAAGACTGTTGGTGACATATTCCTCCAGCATGTACCCAACTTTGACCCTTTCATCAAGTATGGTGCCAACCAGCTCTATGGTAAATATGAGTTTGAGAAGGAGAAGGCATCAAACCCTGCTTTTGCAAGATTTGTCGAAGAGACTGAACGGCTCAAGGAGTCGCGGAAGTTGGAATTAAACGGTTACTTAACCAAGCCCACCACTCGTCTGGCAAGGTATCCGTTGCTTCTTGAACAGGTTCTGAAAAACACGAAGGATGATAATCCAGACAAAGAAGATATTCCCAAAGCCATCAAGCTCATTAAAGATTTCTTGTCGCGTGTCAACACCGAGAGCGGAAGGGCTGAGAACCATTTCAACCTCGTGCAGCTGAACTCAGCCCTGAAGTTTAACCCCGGCGATTACGTGGACCTGAAGTTGACTGAGGAGAATCGTCAAATGCTCACTAAGATGGCGTTCAGGAAGGCTCCAACAGATAGTTCCGAAGTAACTGCGTATCTCTTCGACCATGCAGTATTGCTCGTGAGGATTAAAGTCG